ATACCACCTGGGCTGGAAGACCAGTAAGGAAGGCATGTCCAGGGAGGCAGCAATCTTGAAAAGCAGCCTTGGAGCATCAGCCTTCCTCTCTCAATACCGTCTGGGCTGGAAGACCAGTAAGGAAGGCGTATCCAGGGAGGAGGCAAGCTTGAAAAGCAGCCTTGGAGCATCAGCCTTCGTCTCCCAATACCATCTGGGCTGGAAGACCAGCGAGGAGGGCATGTCCACGGAGGCGGCAAGTTCCACCTTCCCCAATTCCACCTGGGATGTGATATAGGTGTAGCTCCTGGGCAGGACTGAGGGAAAGGCAGCAGCTTTACATAGGAAGCTGAGGACTGAGAGACTAGAGGTCACTGCCAAGCCTGCCTTATAACCCTGGCTTCCCCCCCCCCCAAATATTATCTGGGCCAGCTATGTAATGTAGGAGAAGCATGGAGACAAGTTCAAATTGCCAACCCAATGCCCTCCCAGATTATTGTAATTGTTACATCTTTTTGGATAATTTGTTTTAAATTGTTTTCAAAATTTGATGTTTAATAATTTTTTAAGGGTTGGGAGGTCAGGGTTGAGGCTTGATTTTACTGTATTGTATTGTATTGTATTGTATTTTTTTTATGTTGGAAGCTGCCCCGATTGCTATGCAGAGGGGCGGGCTATAAATAAATTTTATTATTATTATTATTATTATTATTATTATTATTATTATTATTATATACCCAGTGCATGAATAAAGTGCAAGTGTAAAGAGCAGTGCCTGCTGAATCAGAACTTCAGTCCTGCAAAGAGCTAGACCACTGAGGGAAACAGAGGTCCAAGGCAGTAGCAAACACAGCAACCTCTTCCTACAGCCCCCTGTGGTCCTCTGTCTCTCCCCTGATGGCTCCTCTCTCCCTCAGAAGCCACAGTAGCGGCAGTTGGAATAGAGGGAGGTGCCTCACCAGCTGCTGAGACTAGGCAGCAATGCAATTAATTCACTTAATGGACAGAAGAACCTTGCAGAATTCCTGGATCCATTTTCTTCCTGTTCCACCTTTGCAACTGATTATTACCTCTTCTAGGACAACTGTTAGCAAATATGAAATTAATAAAATTTTGGGACACATGTGGAGTTCCCTCTGTGACCCCAAACTGACCTCTGTGGGATGTCAGCCATAATCCTCTTGATGGCAGATCAGATAGGCACAGGGAGGTTCTGCCCAAACAACTGGAAAATTCCCTACCAGACAGGTTTAGGAGTTGCTAAAGGGGAAAGACCATTATCCCAAAAGTCAACATAATAGTGCTTGTTTGTCCTGAGTCTTATTCCTGATGTGGCAGTGATCAGATTTAACTGCACCCTTTTTCTCTAGCCTCCTCTCCTTGATTATGTCAACACCCAAGTACATTGTTTAGGTTAGGGGTAGACAACCTTTCCTCTTTAAGGGCCAAGGAACTTTAGCTCCCAGAAGCCTCAGCCATGCTGCCCAATAGTCCCATGTTGGCCAATAGCTCCTGGGATTCTGGGAGCTGAAGTCCCTCGGCCCTTAAAGGGGAAAGGTTGCCTACCCCTGGTCTATGGTATACCATGTGGTTGTTTGAGATCTCCTTTGTTACAACATGGACACAGTATGTGCATGCAGGGAGAGAGAAGATGAGTATGGAGGGAAGGGGAGGAATTCTGAACACTATAAACTAACCTTAATTGAAGAAGCCTATCTCAGCATCATCCATTGTGGGATCTCTTAGTCCTCCAGTATACACAATGGTACTCCAGTCTCACGGGGTGTTATTAGGACCCCACTCTTGCATATTTGAGCTAAATACAAATTCCCCCAATCAGATCCTTCCTAATATAACCAAGCTTCAGGGTTTCAAGATCTAGTTTCTTATTTAAAAAACTTGTTTTTAACAAGTTCCACCAACTGGAGACTAGTATAAGAAATACACTTTTGAAGTATCAAAACTGTATATGAATCAGGTCCTTGTTGGGGAATGTGAGAGACAGTAGTGTATCTCACAAGCAGAACATTTAGTCTTAAGAAACAGAAGTTGTGTAACAACCAATCCCATAACACACACACATACACACACAGAGAGAGATGGGGGAAGTTAAAGGGTGCTGTAGAGAAATAAATCAGACTTAGGGGCTGTACAGACTGGGCACAAGGGCCAGCCTGGTGGTGGAGTGGGGGCATTGCGACTGCACACCAGCTGCCCCAACTCTGCCCCCACATTTTCTCACACTGCCCACCCAAATAGATGGTGGGTGGCATCAGGATGCTCCCTTGGCTCAGCATTCATACACGCTGCAGCAAAGGAGTGCCAAAAAGCCTCTGCCATGGCAGCAAGGATAGCTTTTTGCCTCTCTAAAAAGGAGCAGCATTTGCCAGCTCTTTTTAGAGTGGCAAAGTACCAGATCAGGGCCATGGCATGCTGTTTCCACGGCCCTGATCTAGCAAGGAAAGGGGCAGTCTGTTGAGCCCCTTAGTCTTCTTTATTATTATTTTTTAAATGAAGGACATACAGAGTTTCACAACACCATGGTGAAAGGCTTGATAATACATTAACTTCAAACATGGAGGGGAAAGAGAAAACAGCAGAGTACAAGACAAAAGATGAAGAAACACAGATTAACTGCAGACTAACTGATGTAGGAAGAGAGAGGACTTATTGGCTAATACCAATAAACAGAAAATAATATG